CCTGTTTCTATTGGCACGTCAGCTCCCCAAAGCGGGGACTCTATAGTGCCTCAAGCTGTAGCCCAGTACCTAGTGCAGGGACTGGCATGTTGCAGAAACTCGGCATGTGTGGGCCGAGCAGGTTAATGATTGCAGAGCAGAGCCCGAGCCAGAGTGTGTTTTGTCAGTACCCCCTTCACATGAAGTAGGGGTATCACCCCACAGAAAATGCCCTTCAGCCATCTTACCCCCGAGAACTTTCTGGGGGTCTCTTCTGGGTGTGGCCTAGCCTCTCTCCACCTTCTCCCCATCCTCCCTTCTTTACTCTTTCCTGTCTCCTCCATCCTTCCTTCCAGGAGCAAATATTGCACCCCCAGCCCACACACATGCTCCCGCCCAAAGATCTGCCCCCGCCCCCCGTGAGCTGGTCCCTTCTGACCTTTGTGCACATGGGCCCCAACCACCCCAATCCTACCCAGGTATTTTCCCAGAGATACTTCCTTCCCTGAGAGGAATTCTGCTAAGAGCTATGGAAAGAATTAAAATGTCACATCTTGCTTTTTATATAAAATAGAGGAAACGGTCCGTGTGTAATAGGAGAAAACAAGACTAAATCTAAATGGTTAACAAAGATTATGGTTCAGCCATTCTTTGGACAACTAAGTAGCCATTTACGATGACAGTATACTCATATTACAGACAAAGAGCTAATTTCCTTAATATGTAAAGTGCTTTTATGGCTCAAAAGGAAAGAGACCAACAACCCAATGGAAAAGCAGGCAAAGGACACGAATGGTTTATGGTAAAGAAGCTACAAGGAACCTTTAAATATTTGAAAAGATGTCCCAAATCATTCATAGGAAGGGAAGTGAAAGAAAACAAGACACGATTATTTGTCTCCCAGATCCGCGAATATGGAAGTCTGATAACACGTGTTGGGGAGGGGTGGCAAGCTGGCTTCTTCACACATGGTACAACACTTTAGGGGGGTAATTTGCCAGATTTATCAAAGTTCAAACTGCATATTTTCCCCTTGACCTTGTAAATACACTCCTAAATGTTTTCCGTAAAGATTCATTCTCACGAAGGCAAAAACAGTGCTTGAACAAGGATATTCCTTACAGCACTGACTGGGATAACAAGAGAAGGAAATAGCCTAAATGTCCAACAATAGTTGAATCAGTTATGGAACAACCATGCAGTAAGATGCTATGTAGCTGTTTAAAGAAAATGAAAACAGGAAGATTTTCTTTTTTGTTTTGATGTGGACATATTTCCAAATCACAGTAAATTTTTTAAAAAAGAAAAAAAAACCCCACTATATACAGTATACTATCATTTGTGAGAAAGGGGGAAACATATATACATATATAGATATACGTTTTTATATATCTCTTCATGTTTGTTAAGGTCCACTTGGACAATCTTTGGAAGGAGACATAAAAATCTAATGACGTTTGTTGTGTTCAGGAAGGGTTATCAGGTGGCTGGGAGACAGAGGAGGGGGAGAGACTAATTTTTTGCTACATACCTTTTTGTATGTTTCATACTATTTTACTGTACAAATGTATCAGCTACTAAAAAATAAAAATTTTAAAGTGATATAACATTTAATCTTCCTTTAACATACAGTTTTGTAATTATTTAGTTTAAAAAATATAATTCCATTTTGGCTTTTATGTATGAGTCTGCTTAAAAAATAGAAATATATACACAGAGAAAAAAAGACTAAAAGGAAGAAAACCAAACTGAGAACAGAGGTCATCTGAGTGTGAACTTAACGTTCCCTCTGGTTCACTGAAAGAATTCTCCTTTGCCAAATGTCAGAGGCATCCTAGCCAGAAGGGCTCTAAATGCTTTCTGGGAAATAGTCTTGTCTCTGGGGAGTTTATCAGAAGACTTCGGCCTGACTCACAGGATGGCACACATGTTCTATTCCAGAGAATCAGGATTGAAACAAGCAGGATAAATGAGTAAACTCATGTTTCCATAGGCCTCCCACCCTTTCATTCCAGGAAAACTACTGGATTCCTTCCCTGTTCTACTAGGGAGAAAGGATGACTGCAGAGCAAGAAGAAGGGTCGGGGTCAGAGGTGGCCAGAGTAACTAAGCTCACACCTGTCCCCACTCTCCAGATCCACAGAGAACTTGAGAATACTTACAGCTTCCCAAAGGAGCAGAATGGGGGTTCCCACCAACTTCACCCAGCTCTCAAGGACCTCGGAAACCCCAGACGGAGTGTAGGTTACACAAGTATGCTTATTTTATAGGTAACAAGTCCCACATACAACCAAGTGCTTGCCTGCCTCACCGCTTCTGCCTGGTTTCAGGGTCCATGGATGGCAGAGATATGCTCTTCAGAGTGGTCTGAGGGACTAAAAGCCTTCAGTTCTCCAGAAAGCCTGCACCAACCACCAGACTGATCAATTTTTCAGACTTTTTTTCTTCTCAACTCATCTGAGTGTTTGCTTAGTGCCAGCTAAGTTTCAGCCAAGGTAGACTTCAGGCTCCCAGCTAACACTCAAAAATAGATCTGGTAAAGAAAACCAGTAGTTTACAGCCTCAGATGCCTACAAAAAAGTTTTGTTTTGTTTTTTTAAAGTGTATGCACCTGTATATGTCTGCTTAATGCTTAGTGCCATTCTGGGTGGGAAGCAGAGGAGAGATTCTGGGGTGGGAAATGAGTTTCCTAGCTTTGCTACAGCTGCAACGAAGAACTACAAACGGGGTAGATTAAATGAGAGAAATGTATTCTCTCATAGTTCTAAACGCCACAAGTCTGAAATCAAGATGTCAGCTGGCCATGCTTCTTCTGAAGCCCTAGGGACGGATCCTGCCTTGCCTCTTCCGGCTTCTGGTGGTTGCAGGCAGTTCTCGGATTTTCTCTGCTTGTAAATGTCTCCTTCCAGTCTCTGCCTGTGTGTCACGCAGCTGCCTTCTCCCTGTGTCTCTATCTTCCAACACTGATCTCCTTTCTTATAAGGACACCAGTCATACTGAATTAAGGGCCTTACTCTAGTATGACCCCCATCTTAATTAATTACATCTGCTATGACCCTATTTCAAAATAAAGTCACATTCTGAGGTAGTGGGGTTAGGACATCAACACACCTTTTTCAGGGACACAATTCAATCTGTAACAGATGGGGAAAGACATACTAAGTTGTTTTGCTGAATTTTGCTCAGAGGGGAGAGGGGTATAGGTGGTGGGGGGGTGTAGGAAGACTGACTTGGCCCTACAAATATCCAGTCACCTCTGCATCTGGTCAAGGAATAAGGCTAAGCATGTTGTGAAACCCTTCCAAAGAACTTTCCCTTCTGCTTCTCTGCCTTCTTCAAGGACCCATCACTTCTCATGCTTGTGCGATATCTTGAGGTTAACTGCCCACAGGCATTCTCATTTCATCCAACCTGTGAAACACACTTTAAAGGATATATTATCATCCCCATTTTACAGATGAGAAACAGGTTCTAAAAGATAAAATAGTCCAGGGTCACCAAGCAAATTCAAGGAGCAGAGAGCCCTGGTCTGTCTGCCTCCCACACCAGGTCCAGTCAAGCGGGTGCTGTGCTCTGGAGGCAAGGCAGGTGGGCACAATCACTGGCAGTTGGCACTATTGTTCAGTTAGTTTTAAGGAGAGTATGCTGGATGGGGAGGCTGGATGGACCATGAAATCATCAGAAGGTCTCTCCTTCTGTTCTGCAGAAAGAGACCAAGCCTAGTGCTTTTCTGGGTTTATTGCTTCTTACAGAGAAAGAAGGGCACACCCCACCTACTGCTACCTCCAGGTTTGGGAGGCTGGGAAGTCCTGGTTTTCCAACTGCTTTTTAAGTCTGCAGAACCCCCAACCTTTTATTTATTTATTTTTATTCCCTGCCCCCAACCTTTTGAAAAGGAAATCTAAGAACCTCAACCTATAAAACAGATGCAAACAGTGCTGAAGGTGGGGGCCTCCCTGCACCTCCCCAAATGATTATCCCAGAAAACTCCTGGTCCTGATCTCCTGGGTGAGAAAATGGCAGAAAACGACTTGGAAACGCAAAAGGTAAGTAACAAAATGATACCCATGTATTCACCTATTTACAAGGGTAAAACGTTCATCAGGAATAGTCTATGGAGATTTGACATTAAGTAACTATTGTTTAAATGTTTAAAGCTATGCTGATGGTTTTGCGGTTATTTTTTTTTAAAGACTCCCTATCTTTTTTTTTTTTAATGGAGATACTGGGGACTGAACCCAGGGACGTGTGCATTGTCATGCTAAGCACACACTCTGCCACTGAGCTTTACCCACCCACAAAAGACTCCTTATCTTTTAGTTCATTCTGAAATATTTCGGTTGAGATGCTGTGATGTCTGTCTGCTATTTGTTTCAAAATGAGTTGCGGTAGGAACCAAACTGGGCTGGTCCAGGGTGATGACTGTTGAAGGTGAGTAGGGGTTACATGGGGCTTGGTTGTATCAAACCCGGCAAATTCATACAGCTCGGTCTAATTTTATTTCTTCTATTCTGGCATCTGTTTGGAATTGTCCATCATAAAAAGCTTTTTTAAAGCTAAAAAGTCTGAATTGTGTGCAATGAACAGCGACTCTTCCGTAATTCTATAAAAGGCAATTAAAAGTTGAAGTTCCAGGACGGGGCGTTGCGAGGGTGGGAAAGAGTAGGAGTGAAGGGGGACGTGACCGCGTCCCGAAACCCAACCCGGCTAACCCTGACTTGCTTTTCTCTGCGGCTAGGCTCGCAACTCATCCACCAAACTCCGCAGGGTGGCAGGGCTGCCCGGCCACCGGCGCCCCATCTGCCCAACCGTTCACCAGTCCAGCCTCTGTCCTCCCGACCATCCAGCCAGCCAGCTACCTTACCCATCCTTCCAGCCAGCCACCAGGCCACCGGTAGGTCCTGCTCCAGAGCCCTCTGGCATCGCACTCCTCCACGCTCCGCGCGGCATCCGCACCCCGAACTTCCCCGCGCCGCTCGCCCAAGCCCGGTCCGCAGCCCTGCGAAGTGCTGGGCACTCACCGGTTGCGCTCCCAGCTTCGCCGCGCTGCTCACGAAACTGAAAGTAGGCGCCGAGAGCACCCAGGCGGCTGGTGCTGAGAGCCTGAGAGCTGCTGCCGGGAAATCACGTGGATTCTAGGTGCCCGGGCCGGGCGCCCGCGCGGACTGGGCGGGGGAGGCACACCCGTTCCTGCAGGGCTCCCGCTCCCCGCGCCTCCTGGCGCTCAGCCACCTTTGCGAACGGCACCCAGAGACAGCCCCAAGGGTCGGGGGTGGGGCCGCTGGCCCCTTTCGTGGATGTTAAACTGAGGCAGAGGAGTGAGGGCTGAGTTCAACTCTCCCTGCCTCCCTGGAGACTAAGGAGAGATGGGATAGGATGGGAAGGAGATGCTCGCAGTGCAGCAGGAGACTCACAACCCAGGGGTCCTGCCTCCTTTTCTGCGATGCTCCCCGGGATGAAGGGAGGGGAGAAAAGACTAACAATAATTGGTCTTATTAGCTGAGCGCTTGGCCTTCTGGACGGTGCTAAGCACTATCTAAGAATTTATCTCATCTAATCCTCAAAATAACCCACCATACAGATGCAAATAAGCGCCCCATTTTACAGATGAGCAAACAAACTCAGAGAGGGGAGAGGTAAAGGAACTTGCCACGAATCCACTACCCTTTCAAAGCTTTACTACAACCTCCCCGACTTTTTGCATTCCTCTGGGGACAGAAGCTCCCTTCCTCCTGCAGAGGATACATCCATCCTAGTAAGGTCATCCACCAACCTCCCTGTGGCATCCCTGCAGTAAAGCAGCTTTCACTCCCAGATCTTCTGCCCTCTTGCCTCCCAAGCCAGATGTGTGTGGGTGTGAGGGCACTGCAAGGTAGTGGTCACAAGCACAACCATCCGTGTCAGACACCCTTGGGTTCGAGTCCTATGGCAGAAGAAAAGTTATCCCATTAGGCAGATGAAGAAACTGAGATTCAGGTATGTCAAATGAGTTGCTGAAAGTCACACAGCAGTCATGAACAGAGCTGGCTCTTGAACCCAATATCCTTTCCACCCTGGAGATACCTGGCCTGCTGAGAAGATTATCACTGAAGATAATCGGTGGGATATTATCTTCAATTAATCTGAGAAGAGCTACCTTCCCAAAGGCTCCCTACCCTCAGCCTGACCTGTGGCCTGAAAGTCCACCATTAGCACATCGTTCCTTGGCTGAAGGTGTGCAAGCTCCTCTGGTATCAATTGAATGGCCATCAGTCATTTACACTTGAGTGTGAACAAGCTAAGAAGATTTTATTGGTGGGAGATCAGAGGGAAAGCTGAGTGTCTGGATTTGGAGGTAGGAAACATAAGGTGTGAGTCAGGGGGACCAGAGGATGGAGCCCATGTTTACTGGTCACCTCTCTGTGCCAATTACTTCATCTCCATGAAGTATAACCCATAGCTGGCATTTGTGAGCACTTAGGACATACCAGACAGTGTTATGGGTATTTGTGCTTACTCTTTTAATCTTCATGGCAGCCCTATTATGTCCATTTTTACAGGTGAAGAAACAGAGACAGAGAGGCCAACATGCTGGAGATTACACAGCTAACAGCAGAGGAGCTGGGATATGGCCCAGGTGGGGCAGCTTCAGAGCCCCTGTTCTTGGCCACCATGTGATACCCCCTCTAGGCTAACCCAGTCCTTACCAGAACCCTATGTGGAAAATAGTATCATCCCATTTAATAGACAAGGAAATTGAGGCACAGAGGGACCCAGAACCAGTATTTCAGGGTCCTGGGATTTGATTCCAGGTTTGAAGGCCCAGCCTTCCCCCTGCATTTTCCATTGCCCGAGGCTGGTTCCAAACACCAGGGCCCCATCTTGTTGTGGGTCAGCAACCCAGATGGCAGGATGTGCTTCCACAGGACCCGGCCTTGGGCAGCCCTTGTCTCCTCCCCAGAGGAAGCAGCCAAGTGTGGCCTTCTGGGAATAGGTTTGACTGTGTCAGGGTCAGGACTCCACCCAGGCTGGGGGAATTCCTAGTATTAGGATGAAGGCCTGGGTTTGAGCTTCTGGGCTCGGGTGGAGGTGCCAGGACTTGGGAGAGGGGTGAGAGGGGTCCAGCAGGTGAGTCCTGTTCTGGCGACCTCTGGGACTCCACATCTCCTTCTGCTAAGGGCACTGGCGTGTAGGTGCCCTTTTGGTGCAGACCTGGCTGAGACGGTGAAGGAAGCTGAGGGTCCACACTTTTCTGGAGCAGAAATAAGCTCCAGTAAGCCAGAAAGAGAAAGAAAATACCATATGAGATCACTCATGTGGAATCTAAAAAAAAAAAAAAACAACAAAAACAAAGCATAAATACAAAACAGAAATAGACTCATAGACATAGAATACAAACTTGTGGTTGCCAAGGGGGCAGAGGGTGGGAAGGGATAGACGGGATTTCAAAATTGTAGAATAGATAAACAAGATTATACTGTATAGCACAGGGAAATATACACAAGATCTTATGGTAGCTCACAGAGAAAAAAATGTCTCAATGAATATATACATGTTCAAATATGACTGAAAATTGTGCTCTACACTGGAATTTGACACAACATTGTAAAATGATTATAAATCAATAAAAATTCAAAAAGAGAAATAAGAAATAAGCTCCAGGGCCTTATGGGGTCCCAGCTGAGCTGGGGTCCACAAGGGGCAAGAGTCCAAGCACCTCTCTGTCTGCCTCTTGTGGTGGTGAAATTTTCCATGTGAGGAAGGAGCCGCCCAGGGCTGCCAGCTTATTCTGATACTGTCCTTGGGGCATCAAGGTCTGGGAGGGGGCTCTTCGAGGGTGCTCTCTTGGGTAGTGTAAGGCTCCTATCTGCCCAAAGGCTTACATCCCAAGGCTTGGAATTTCCACATTGGACTCAGGACTCATGAAATGACTGACTTTCTGCCAGAGTCCCTGCCTGCCAGCCCCTATAAGTACTCCTGGTCAGTTTAGTAGGTCAGACCCTTGCTTTGGATCTTGAGGGAGGAAGAGAAGCAGGCCCAAGAAGGCATTTGGAGGGGACAGAGGAGGGGTTGGAAGGAATCTGACTCAGAGGATGGTGCCCTCCTCTCACATCTTCCCAAATCTGAAGGGGCGTCCCTCTGCCAAGCTCCACCTGAGACCTTGCTTCCTGGCCATCTCCCCTGGCTGTCAAAATAAAGGTTGGGCCCCTTCGGCACCCTGTGATGTGGACCCAGACCTCATCTCTCTCCCTCTCCACTTTGCTCTCTGTGCTACTTCGGCACCCCCTTAAGTTTCTTGATTCTCTCATGGTCCCTCCTACCCCAGGGACTTTGCATATGCCATTGTCCTCCTGTGCTTTTTCCCCATCCCATTTGGCCAATGTGGCAGTGAGGAATTTTCTTCACATACCCTCTTTGGGGCCTGGTACCTCCCAAGACTGAGATGGCAGAAAGAAACCTTTTGTATTTTAGCCTGAGGTGGGAAGACATGCTTTGAGCATCATAAGGCAGTCTGGCTGGTGCTCACGAGGTTTCTCTTCCATGGAAAAGTCTGATTGGCTTATTAGAGGCTCCCTCCTCCTCCTCTTCTACCAGAAACCAGACCTCTGTGAGGGCCCTTTACCCTCCCTGTCATCTTCTGGGTCTAATGCCCCCATGGTCCCATATTTCCTGTCTAGCACTGGAACCACATGGAGCAGAGAATGAGTGACAGCTCATGCAGGAAGCTGGTCAGAAGCAGAGAAGGGACCTCTGATAGTAGGTGGGGAAGGGAGTGAAAGGGCCCGATGCTGTGGGGGAGGGAAGAGAGATGTTCTGACAGTTGCTTTCTGCTGACCAAGGGGGAGGCTGAGAAACCCACCAGGGTAGTTCCAGCTCCCATTCCTTTCCTCCTACCAAAGTCACACCCACACACAGAGATATTCAAAAAGATGGCAGGGCCAGCTCAACATATCCTGCGGGGAAGGCAGCAGAAAGGTCCCGGCAGGGCCTTCTCCAAACCCCCCCCCCGTGCATGCCCCAGTAATGGTGTCCGAGATTCCACCATTAGAGTTACCTCATATGGACAAGTGTCCCACAAAGTCAGCATCAAGAAGGAATTTGGAGAGCATCAGGTCTAACACTTTCACTTGATAGGAGGGGTAACTGAGGCTCGGGGTTGGCTGTGAACCAGGCCTCAGCCTCCCAGTCCAGGGCTCTTTCTGCCACATCAGGCTGCCATCAGGAGACCCGTGCCCTTGAGGTGGGTTGAGCCATCTGTGGGGTGGCAGAGACAATATTCTTCAGGTAAACCAGGAACAGGGATCCACACTCTGGCTGGGTCATTGGTGTGCACTGCCATTGGCAGGGAGTGTGCCTTGAGGGAAGGGGACCAAGTTTTGATCACTGGACAGTCAGAGGCATTGCAGCTCTGCCTGGGAAGGGCCTAGGAGGGGAATGAAAGCCTCCCCATCAGTCTCGGGTCCCCACACCCTCCTCCAGCCCATACTTTAGAGACGTGACCTCAGGGGTGGCCACTGTGGGGATCGTGGACAGCAGGAAGTTCTGGATGGATTCAGAGCAGCCCGGCAGATCACAGGCCCACTGTGAGCTCCCTAGGGCACAGACGTCACCCCCAGGCAAATAACCCCACAGCCTGCCCGGGCGGGCATTCATCCATATGCCTGCCCGTGAGAAAGGACATCCCAACCCACTCTCTCTTCCTGTCCCCCACCCCCCAAATGGTAGTGGGCCCTCCCAGGCCCTGTGGAGGGCTGTGACTGTCATCCCATTCCACAGAGGGGAAACCAAGTCCAGGGAGCGGCCGGCTGGCCAGTGCTCTCCTGCCCTCCCCACTTGCTTAATCCCTAGCACCGAGATCCCGTTTCTTCAAACTAAGTGTCTTCCCAATAGATACATGGGCAGAAGGGTCCTGAGATAAAGGCTGGATCATCCGGTTGCCTGATTTCCTTTAGGGCCCTCTGTCTACAGGGCTTATTTCTCCAGGTGTCCCAAGACCACCTACCTTGGTCAACGTGGAAAAAGTCCGTTTAATGCTGAAACAAAAAAGACATGAGAATTTAGCCTTCTACTGTGCTCCCATCCCCCAGAAAAGAAACTCTAGGAATTAGTCCAAGTGCTTTCGTCTAGTATTTAAGGCCCTCCTTAGAGAGCCCTTTTGAGGGCTCTCCTGAGATTTGCCATCCCAGCCTCCTGGCCTCTGCTCGGGCAGGCTCCTCCTCCTGCTGTGCGGTCCCTCCATTCTTCACGGTGCCTCTTCCTCCGAATTAAGACTCTAGGTAGGAGTC